GTGAAGAGAGAGAAAAGTACAGAATGTATGTAATCAAATAATATGCTTAAAGTAAAAAGTTACAACTGTAAGATATTTTATGTAACTGTTATAGTTTGGATCTTGATGTCCTGAAAGGTTTGGTCCCCATAGTGGTRCTGTTGAAAAGTGGTGGAGCTTTTAGAAAGTGGGGGCCCAGTGGGAAGTCTTTAATCACTAGAGGCATGCTCTAGAAGGAAACTGTGAGACCCTGGCCTCTTCCTACTCTTTTACCTCTTGGCCATGATATCCCTAATGAACATAGATTAAAAAAAAATTCTCCGAACAAACAAACAAACTAGCAAACCAAATTCAATAGCATACATCATGATAAAGTGAGACTTATCCCTGGGATGCAACAATGGTTACATACATAAATGAATAAACATGATATGCCACATTAACAGAATCAAGGCTAAAAATATCAAAAGATGCACACACATAAAAAAACCATTTGATAAGATTTAGCATTCTTTCCTGATAAAATGCATGATATAGAAGGAAGAAAATTAGGTACAGAAGAAATGCACTTCAACATAATAAAGGTAAAATGTGACCAAACCACAGCTAACATATTCAACAGTAAAACGCGTAAAGCTTCTTCTAAGATGAGTAAAAAGATAAGCTACACATTCTCACTTCTATTTAACATAGTTCTTAAAGTCCTAGCCAGAGTAATTGAAAGAAAAGGAAATACTGAAAGATGCATCCAAATCAGAAACAAAGTAGTAAATTTGTTTCTGTTGTCATATGATATGATCTTATATATATAAAACTCTAAATACTACACACACACACACACACACACACACACACACACAACCTGCTAGGATGAATAAATAAATTTAGTAAAGTTGCAGAATATAAAATCAATACACAAAAATCATTTGGATTTCTATGTAACAACAACAAATTCTCTGGAAAAAATAAAGACAGCAATCCCACTTACAATAGCATTGAAAATATTATTTAACATTCATAATACATATGTAATATACATAAAATACTCAGGAATAAACTTAACCAGGGAGGTGAAAGATTTGTACAAAGAAAATTGTAAGAGAAGACATAAATAAATGGAAAGACAGCTCATGCTCATGAATTGGAAGAAATTTTTTACTGAAAATAATATGCAGGTTCAGTGTAATCACTATCAAGTATTAAAAGCATTTTTCACATAAATAGAAAAAGCAATCCTAAAATTCGAACCACAAATGATCCTGAAGAGTCAAAGCAATTTTGAAAAAAAAGAACAAAGCAGGAGACATCACATGTCCTGACTTCAAACTATATCACAAAGCTATAGCAATCAAAATACAATGGTACTGGCATAGAAACAGAACCCAGGGCCCCTGGAATGCAAGGCAAATGCTCTACCACTGAGCATTTGGAATGCTAGGTCAATCATAGTCTCTACAGACCAATTTAATAAAAAGCAGAGTTCAGTTAGACCTCAGACAAGATTGTATGCACTACTGACATCAAAAATATGTTTAAAACTTTTGATCCTTTTTGCTGAGCTGAAAAACATGCTTTTGTAGATTTATGGCTACATATTAAGTACCAGCCTATGCTTATCTATTTAAGTACATACCATATCTGACATGGCAGTCAACTGGCTAATTTCACTCTAGTTGAACATTCTCTACCACAATCATAGTATGTAATGCAGGCTTGGACTTAATTTATGACTTGGTCTTCATAAGCCTCCATTTAGAGAGGCCAGTGATGGCACTTTGGGTCTCTAGCAATAATGTCAGTTTACACCCTATATCTAATGGCCCTAGAAAAGTCTAGTTCCAAGTATATGAATTTTTAAAAATTGTTGAGATTCAATCACAAAGCACCCTGTTATTCTTCTTTATAATTATATTGAGAGCTTTCCATGCCTCTCAAGATATAGTGTATTGTGGAATTACTGTTCATAAAATCATGTCAGGCCTTTCTCCCAATTTTGGAAATATTCTTTCCTAAACCTGAAGGCATATTTCTGATCATGTCACACAGGCTCAGCTGATACTAACTCCAAGCTGACATGTTTACTTCTTCATTATTTCTATATCCATTAGCTGTCCATCAGAATAAAATCCAAAGTAACAGTTCTCTACATTACTTACATCATTAGCCTGTTATTCATTTTGCTTTTTAACCATTTGCTCTGTTTTTAGCAGAATAAAATGTTCAGAAGCAGTTTAGAAAATTGAAGTCATCCATCATTACTGTATCACATCTCTATCAGTTTCCTGATCAGTATTAAGAACTGCCACTGAATGCTGGGTGTGGTGTTACAAACCTGTGATCATAGCCACTTGGGATGCTAAGGCAGAAAGAAGGACTCCAAGTTCAAGGGTAACTTCAGCAATTTAGCAAGGCCCTAAGCAACTTAGCTAGACCCTGTCTCAAGTTAAAAAAAAAAATGGGGGGAAAGGGGTCAGAGATTAAGTCAGTATTAAAGCACTCCAAGGTTCAATCCCTAGTACCAAAAAATTAACCATAGTAGTTGGTATTGCTTTGGTACCTCCTACAATTAAGTCACTTCTGATTACCTCTTATTTTATCCTCATTCAAATGTATGCTATCATGCTTCCCCAGGTTTCTTACACTCAGTGGTATAAATTCTTAAGTTATGTTAATTTTTATGTATCTAATCCTCATTAGAAGAAACAGTAATACATTTCACAGATGAATATTATTTTCCAAAGCCTCAGTAAAACTGCTTAGAAAAAAAGTAAAAAATTTTCTTACATGGTCATAAATAACAAAAATTCGATTGTCAGAACCTGACACTTCAGAATGCTTTAGAATGCCTTCTACCCAATTTCTGTTCCTATTCCTAGTTCTTAGCCCTATACCCATGTTAATAGGTACAGAAAACAAAATGAGACAATTATAGAATTACAAAACTTTTTGAGCAATATTGCCACCATTTTAAGAAACTTACTGATCTACAAAATAATATTAATAGCTTGATAAAGGAAATGGTATAACTTTATACAAAATGATGCTTAAAGAAAGGTTATTTATTTTCACATATAAATTTTGAACCTACAACTTTAAACATTTTTTTAAGGGATATGGTCAGCAAAAGTATTATGGTTCTGCAAATTTCTGTAATGTTTAACAATCTAAGTTTATAGTTGGTAGTTTTTTTTTGTGAATGAAAAATGAGCTTTTTGAAATATGAGGGGACTGATGGTGTACTTGTTCTATTTGTTGTGTCAAAAATCAATCCACAAGGGGCTGGGGCTAGGGCTCAGAGATAGAGTGCTCGCCTAGCACGTGCAAGGTGCTGGGTTCAATCCTCAGCACCAGATAAAAATAAATAAATAAAATAAAGATATAGTGTCCAACTACAACTTAAAAAAAAATCAATCCACAGGGCTGAGAATACAGCTCACTTGATAGAGTGCTTGCCTTGCATGCACAAGGCATGGGTTATCCCCAACACCATAAATAAAGAAATACATAAATCCACTGAACAATTTTGAACAATTTATAAAATCTGGAAATAGGGCTGGGGATGTGGCTCAAGAGGTTGTGCGCTCACCTGGGTTTGATCCTCAGCACCACATAAAAAATAAAGATGTTGTGTCCACCGAAAACTAAAAAATAAATATTAAAAAAAATCTGGAAATAATTATCAGCTATCATATATACATATATATGTCATATATATATATACACACACAAAATATGTATACATATGTGTATAATAAATGTTAAATAATATTTTGTATATTTATTACATTTGTTAGAAAATACACTTTTTAATATAATGATTAGGAAAAAGATTCTCCTTTAAAGGCACTGACATAATATACAAATTTCCACACATATTCCCCAAAAAATCTAACCATTCAGAAAAACTGTTTTGTTTGATAATACTGGGTATTAAACTCAATGCCTCATGCATTCTAGGCAAACACTCTACCAATGAGATGCATCCCCAGCCCTTTAGAAAAACTGATTCAYAGTAATCAAATTTAACAAAGATAGCTATTTAACTCCAAATGTAAAGCATTTTATGAGCAGAGATTTATACTGATCTATTACTGCATTCTCATTTTAGTAATGAAATTTGTGTAGGAAGCAAATGTTCACATAGTAACCCTGGAATCATAACAAGGTAGAATTAATCAGACATATATTGAAAACACAAGAATATGCTCTCATTTACTATACATGTATCCCCAATATGGCTTTTAGCTGAAAAGTAAATGACATGTTTAGATTGGCTGGGTTGAGTACTTATACTGCTAATTTTCCCTCTGTGGCTAAGGTGATACGTGACAACAGGGTGAATCTGTAAAACATAAAGCATTTGTGGGGAATTCTAAGATATGCCTGGGAAAAAGAACTACCAAAAGAAGTGGACTTCTTACAGACATATGAGAAAGGGGGCTAGAATTACTGTTGTTGCTTTATATTAAAGGGAAAGGTGTTTCTTACAGTCCAGCAAGGAAGATGTGAAAGTGTTCAAATGTACCATCCTCTCTTTCATCCAAATCTTTGAATGTGATCTCCCCTGTATTTATAACATCTTCCTTTCTGTCTTTATTCTCCTTTGATAGCACCTGGCATCTCTCCTCACCCTTTTGCTCCCCAGGTTTCCTGCCTTTTGTCTGACTTTACTTCTCATCTTTTAGTCTTAACGTAAAAGCAATTTCTTCCAGAAAGGCCTTTCTGACCTCCTACATACGACACTCAAAGCATCTTGTACTTCTTCATGTCCTTTATCCCACATTCAGCAGAAACTAAGACTACAATATAATGCAAATCTTACAAAAGAATAAATGTTTCAGTCTTGCTCTACCTGGTATCTTTAGTGCCCAGCACTGTGCTTCCATACTGATTCTTAATAAGTAATTAGGATAAAGTTTAGCTACTTAACAGAGATCTTCAACATTGAGTGGCTTAAAAAAGAAGTTTATTTGTCACTTATGTAGTAGTCCGAGGAGCACATTCCAGGTCACTTAGGCACCCACGTTCCTTTTATTTTGTTTTTCGCCTATGGTGTTTTCCTCATCCACATGGTTGAAGTTTGGTTGCAGGCAATTCCAGCTCTAGGGAAAGGGAAAGACCTTGGAGAAGCACATATTTAAAATTTTGATGTCCTGGTCTGAAGTGGCACACATCATTTCTGCTCTTGTTCTGCTGGTAAGAACTTAGTCACTGGAGGGCCTGTGAAATGTTATTATCTAGTAATGGGCCCAGCTAAAACTCTGTTATTATGAAAAGAAGAACTGATATTTGTAAAAAAATGAGTAGTCTTCACCACAGCATGGTTGTATGCTTTTCTTTAGCAATATACAATACCTTTAAAAAAGTAGGACAGTTAATGAGTTTGGTAGTTTCCTGTGTAACTAAAGAACTAGAAATCTTAGGATAATGGAAAGGGAATGATTTGAAGTCGCAGGCCATTATTATAACTAGGCTAATAAGAAATCAATAATAATAGCTGCTACCAGTTAACATTTATTATGTGTCAGGTATTATTCAAAGGRCTAAGAGTATACTGACTTGTTGAATATTCAGAATTATTGAGGTAGGTACCATTATTCTGTTTTACATTTGAGTAAATAAAGGCACAGAGATTAAGTAATTTGCCCAAAGTGATACAGCAAATTAGAAATCGAGCTGGGTTCAAAACTGGTCAGAATTAATCTGGTTCCAGAGACCATATTCTTGACCACAGGATTACACTGCCTCAATGATAACAACTACTATCTTCGAGTACTTAGTCTATTCAGATAGCATACTAGTATTTCACATTTTTCACCTTATTTAATCCTGATAAGGATTAGATGCATCTAAAGTAGGTATTACTTTTATTTTACATTTAAAGCGCCTTAAATTTAGTTAATTATTGCTCGAGGCCATATAGTTTATAAAAGAAAAACAGGATCAAATCCACCTCTGTGTGACTGTAAAGTCCATTTCTTATGTTTAAATTTCTAAATTTGTTATTGAGGTAGAATTCAGCTATTGTAAGCATATAATTAAGAGTTGGACAAATATATACCTGTGTAGCCAACAACATAAGCAAGATATAAATCATATCTGTTACTCCAGAAAGTTTACTTCTGCTTCTTTCCATTAAATTCTTCCCGCAGAGGCAATCACTGTTCTGGTATCTATTATCATAGATCTGTTTAGTCTATTCTTGAAATTAAAATAAATGGAAATTTGTACTATTTACTTTTGTGTGTAGATTTTTTTCTTTCAATATGTCTTTGAGATTTATTCATGTTACTGTACATTAAGAGTTCATTGTTTTTACAGTATTTAGTTGTCTGAATATACCAAGTTACTTATTCATTCTTATACTGATAGACATCTGAGTTGCTTTCAATTTTTGGCTATGGATGAAAAAAGATACTATAAACATTAATGTTCATTTTTTTGGTGGGTATATATATTTTAATTTCTCTTGGCTAAATACCTAAGAGTAGAAATATACTGGATTAAACAGTTGATGCATGTACAGTATTAAAAGGAAATTCCAAATAACTTTCCAGGTGGTTGCAGATGTTTTACATCATTTGGTGTTGCCAATCTTTTTAATATTAGCTCTTCTCGTAGGTATTTCTTTTGTGCTTTTAATTTGTGATTCCTTGATGATTGAAGAAGTTGGATACTTTTAAATGTGTATATGACCATTCCCATACATTCTGGAAAGTGTTTCAGTGTTTTCCCTGTTTAAAATTAGGGCATTTGTCTTTTTATATTGATTTAAAGTGAACTCTGAATTTTCACTTATAAACTTCTGTCATATATATATTAATAGCACTCATTTCATTATCTTTTTTTTCTTTTCATTTTCTTAATGGTGAGTTCTGATGAGCACAGTTTTGAATACTGATCAAGTCCAACTTATTAACTTTTTCTTTTCTTTCCTTCCTTACTTTTCTTTTGCAGTTCTGGGGTTTGGGCTTATGGCCTTATGCATACTAGAAAAATGTACTATCAGAGCTATACCCTCAGCCCCTTAACTTTTTCTTTTATAGTTAGTATAATTAGTGCTTTTAGGTCCTAAGATATGTCTCTTTATCCTAAGTTCATGAAATTATTCTCATATTTCTTTCGTAGGTTTTATAGTTTTAGTATTTATATTTATGTCTAAGATCCATTCTGACCTAATTTTTATATGTAATATGAGGAGGGAACTGATTGAAGTTCTTTTTTCCCTATTGTACCATTATCATTTGCTAAAGACTTTCTTTTCGACACTAAATAGCTTTCACCCCTAATTAAAAATCAATAAAATAACTATATATTTTAACAGACTGTATATGTGAATATACTTTAAATTATATATGTGATAAAATATGTAGTCTACTCTGTTCCACTACATATATATGAACTATCCTTTTGGTTCTGTTAATATTGTAACGTAATAATAATTATCGAAATCATTTCATGCAAGTCTTCCTATTTTATTCTTTTTCAAGATTATTTTGTCTCCTCTAGGTCCTTGACATTTCCAATTAAATTTTAGAGTTAAGACTGTTGATTTCTTTAATTAAAAAAAGGGAAAACTTACTGGGATTTTTGTTTGGGTTTGCATTAATCTACAGATCAATTGGGAAGCACCTATCCATTCCTGACCATGGTACATACCTACATCCACTTCTAACTTGTCTTGGCAATAAATTTTTACTGTATAAGTCTTCTTTTATTTTCACTAGGTATTCCACTTTTGATGTTGTTGTAAATACTTAACACTATTTTCCAATTGTTTGCTGCTTAAAATATATTTAATTTTGCATACTATCTACACCTTAAGAGCTTGTTGGTAAACTAATTAGTAACAAATACTTACTTCTCCATTTATAATTTGCCTCCCTTATATTTTTTTCTTACCATATTGTATTGTATAGTACATTCATATAATTGAAGAGAAGTGGTGAAAGCAGATATCTTTACTTGTTCTCATCTTTTTTTAAAAATATTTTTTTAGTTATAGATGGACACAATATATTTTATTTTTATTTATTTATTTTTATGTGGTGCTGAGGATCGAACTCAGGGCCTCATACCTGCAAGACAAGTGCTCTACCACTGAGCTTCAGCCCCAGCCCAACCTTGCACTCATCTTAAGGGAGAAAGCATTAATTTTTTAAACATTTAGTGTAATGTTAGCCATATAATTTTCTTTTTTTTTTTTTGGTACCAGGGATTGATTTACTTAAATAGTAAATCAATAAAAAGTCAAATAGTAAATTATTTAAACTTGGTTAATAGTCTTTGTCATAACTATTTAATTCTGCAGTTATAGTGCAAAAACAGCCATAGACTATTTTATTTTCAAGTCAGAAATGGGTCATGTGGCCAGAGGGATTTAGGAGGCTGACCTGTAGTCTATGTCCACAAGTGATATCTTCTTTTCATGTAATGCTCCTGTTAGATTTTCATGTCATGGTTAATTTTGAGGTGTAAGTTTTTCCTCCTCCTTTCTTTACTGAAAAAGTTTTAAATTGATACTATTTCTTCTCCAAATGTTTGCTAGTCTTTACCAGTAAAACTTTCTGAACCTTAAATACTTTTTTTTGGTGGTGCTGGGAATTGAACCCAGAGCCTCATTACAAGCTAGGTCAGCACTTTACCACTGAGCTATATYCCTAGCCCTGGAAGTAATTGTTATAGAAATATTTATAACTGCAAATACATCTTGATCTGCAGATAAAAGCTTATTTAGGTGTTTTAGTTCATCTGTATTAGTTCCTTTCTTAAAAAAATATTTTTTAGTTATAGTTTKACACAATACCTTTATTTTATTTATTTATTTTTATGTGGTGCTGAGGATCGAACCCAGGGCCTCAYACGTGCTAGGTGAGCACTCTACTGCTGAGCCACAACCCAAGCCCTGTATTCGTTTTTGTAAGTTGTATTGTTCAAGGAATTATTTCATTTCACCCATCAAAGTTAATGATGTAAAGATGTATTAGTATTCCCTAATTATACTTTCAAATGTCTGTAGGACCTACACTCATATCCTCTTTCCTTCTAAATTTTGGTAATTTATATTCTCTCTTGATTAGCTTTGTCAGAGTTTTATCAAATTTATTATTATTTTGTTTTCTCTATTACCAACCTTTGTTCTTAATTTTCGTTTTTTTTTTTCCCTTCTTTATATTTACTTTAGGTTTAACTTGCTCTTTAGGGCTAGTTTCTTGCTAATTTTCTTAGGGTGGAAAATTAGACAACTGATTGTAAACCTTTTTTTWAAATTTTTTTTTTAATATTTATTTTTTAGTTCTCGGCGGACACAACATCTTTGTTAGTATGTGGTGCTGAGGATCGAACCCGGGCCGCAYGCATGCCAGGCAAGCGCGCTACCGCTTGAGCCACATCCCCAGCCCTAAACCTTTTTTTTTAACTGATGTAAACATTTAAAGTCATAATTTTCCCTCTAAAATCTACTTTAGCTGCATCTCACAAATTTAACTGTTGTGTCTGTATTACTAATCAATTAAAAATAATTAAAAATACTTATACATTCTTTGACATGAAGATTATACAGCAGGGTTGTTTAATATTTGAAGGTTTTCTAGATAGGTTGTTATTAATAATTACGTTAATTACACTGTGATCAAAGAACTTTTGCAAGATGATTTGTCTTTTGAAATTCATAGTGACCTAAATTGTGGACCAGCACATGGTTTGTCAACGTTCCGGGTGCATTTGAAAAGAAATGTGTATTATGTAGTTGTTGAATAYATTCTTTAAATATAAGTTGGTTGTCAATGTTATTCAAATCTTCTGTATCTTTACTGATTTTTTTTTTGTCTTTTATTCTTTCAATTACTGAAAAATGGAGGTTGAACTCTCCCACTATGATTGTGGATTTTTCCATTTCTCCCTTAGTTTATTTGTTTTTATTTCATGTATTCTGAAGTCTGTTATTTGGTATACACAAATTAGGAATACATTTTCCTACTGAATGTATCTTCTTATCATTATGAAAAAACTTTTTTTTGTTTGTTTGTTTTAGGTAATGGGGATTGAACCCAGAAGCACTTAACCACTGAACTACATCCCTAGTGGCCCCTCCCCCTTTGAGACAAGGTCTTGGTTAAGTTGCTGAGACTGGCTTTGAACTTATGATCCTCTTGCCTCGCCTCCTACGGCAGTGGGATTACAGGCATGAGCCATCACATCCAGCTGAAACAACCTTCTTTATCTCTGGCACTATGTTGTTTTTTTTTGAGGTCTACTTTGTTCAATATTGTATGACCCTGAAGTTTTCTTAAGCTTGCTTTCTTATGCTTGTTTCCCTAATATATCTATTTCCATCCTTTTAACTTTAAATCTATTGTTGTCTTTATATTTAAAGTATGTCTCACTATTTCTGATTAGAAACTATCCTCCTTTGGATCACTGTTTCCCTACCTGAGGCTTTTTTTCTGTTTGCTTTTAAGATAATTCTTTTTATTTTTGATTTTTCAAGATTTTCACTACTATATGCCTAGGATTTTCTTTTTATTTATCCTACTTATGGTTAACTGAACTCAGATCTACTGGTTAACCCACTGGTTGTAATTTTTTCACCCATTTTGGGCTATTTTCAGCCATACTGCTAAAATACCTTTTTTCCCTGTCCTATTTTCTTCTCATCTTGTCTTATAGGTCTTAGATGCTCTGTTCATATCTATTTAATCATTTTCCCTTTGTTCTTCAAGAGATATTTTCTATTAAACTGTCTTCAAGTCAATTGACTTTTATGTCATCTCCAAACTTCTGTTAAGCTCATACTAGGGATTTTATAATTTGAGATATCATACCTTTTTTGGTCTAGAATTTCCACCTAATTACTTTATAGTTTCTATTGGTTTGTTAATATTCCTCCCCATTTGTTCATTCAGAGTGTCCATATTTTTCTTGCACCTCTAAAAAATCTTTACAATAGTTACATTATAATGTTAGCTGATTCTAATATCTGGGTCATTTAGGGTTGATTTCTATTGACTGCCTTTTCTTTAGGTTATGAAGTAATATTTTTCCTCATGTCAGGCAAATTTTTATTGCATCCTGAACACTAAACTGACACATAATAGTGATTCTGGAATTTTAAAAAGTATTATTTTAGGGCTGGGGCTGTAGCTCAGTGGTAGAGCGCTTGCCTCACACATGTGAGGCACTGGGTTTGATCCTCAGCACCACATAAAAATAAACAAACAAACAAATAAATATTGTGTCCATCTACAACTAAAAAATATTTTTTAAAAAGTATTATTTTGCCTTCCTTTAAATAGCACTGAGACAAATTATGGCAGAACTTCTCAATCCTTTTAGGTTTGGGTTTTTCCTTTGCTAGGGTGAATCTATTTTGGCTTTGATTTAGTTCAGTGGTGTGACCTTAACTCAATGGCTTGGTTTTATTTGTAAAATTTGGCATTTATGATGTTTCAACTGCATGCTGAGGTACTCAGCAAGTTACCTGTGTCTATGGCTGGGTCAGAACTCCAACATTGCCCAGAACTTTGAAATTTCTGGTAATTTCCTTTCTACTCAGCCACATAGTAGCCAGTTGTTAAGCTGTAATTTTTTTTCCATTATATGTTTGGTTTGCTCTTTGCAAAGGAGTTGAGGGAAACCCTCAGTCTTTGGCTAACCTTTCTGAAAAGATTCCTTATCTCTGGTATTCTGCCTAAAAAATTCCACTGTAGCAACACTGAACTTTGATATATGCCTACTTAGCTCAGCATGATATTACCACAGTTTTAATGAATAAGTCTAGGCAAATACTGGGGGTAGGCAAATTTGAGAGCCTAGGCAAATAATGGGGCTAACTGTGAATATTTCCTTTCTTTCAAGGATTACAGTCTTGTGCTTCCTGCAATTCCATGCCTGGAAAGAGCTTCATACATATTTTGTCCAGTTTTTTAATTATGTAGGGCATGAGGGCAAGACTATTACCAATATTTCATCATGGTTAGAAACCTAAGTTTATCTATTCAAAGTGTATATTCTTAAATTATTTGTAAATTACTTCTATACTGGGATTCTTTATTGGAGAAAAATAGTAAATGAAAATAATTATTAATAATGTGGAAAAACATTAACAGGGGTTAGGGAGTAAGAAAACTGAAAGGATATGAAGTTGTCAAATAATGAATGGGAATGCTGAAATATAAGATTTGAGAGATGAAGGACATGATAACAAGCCCCTGATATAGCCACAGGTATGGATGGCTGAACCACAGTAGTTTTTCTACATTTTGTAAAAAGGGAAAAGAACGATCTGATAACCACCATCATGATCTTTGATGGCAAAAATGGGTAAAAAATGATACAAAATAAGCAAACCAAAATGGAAATTTAAAAAATCAGAAAAAAGCAAATTGAGGAAAATCAAATTTAAATTTTTCTTCTTAAAAAAATAACTACAGGGATTTGAGGGTATAGTACAGTGTTAGAACACATGCTCAGCATGCACAAGAACATGGGTTCAATCTCCAGTATCAATCAATCCTCCAAGGACAAAAACAAAACAACTACAACTATAGGATATCCAGGGAATTGTGGGGTTAACAGCAAAAAGTAAGATCTGTTGTAAGGCAAAGATGGAGATATAGATCTAGGAGTTATTACCATAAAGATAATATTATGGTAATAACTTTATGGTAATAACTTTATGGTAATAAAGTTATTACCATAAAGAACTGGATGAGATTATCTAGGAAGGACATGTACCATAAGAAGGGAGGTACAGGTAGAAACCAAAGGATCCCAGTATTTTAGAGTCAGGCAGACAAAGATACTGAGATACTTAAATACTGAGAATGATGTTCAGAGAAGTTAAAGGCAAATATATTTGGTTCAAATTTTAGATGTTATAAGCTATATGACCATGAGAAGATAAATCTTTTTGTATCTGTTTTTTTCTTCTAAAAAATATGGTGATAAATTAAAAAATGGTGATAAATAAGAGAGGCAACTATCAAGTGGAATGTGAAAAGGACCAAACAAGAGTATGCAACATAGAAAGGCAGAGTTTTTTTGACTGGTAGGTAGTACATTCTATTTTGTTTTGCTTTTTGGCGTGTTTATTTTAGGCTACGGAAAGGATTTAAACATGTTTATATGAACAGAAGGTGCCAAAGGGATGGGGCTAAAGTATATGAAAGAAGTCAGAGAAAGAAGCTGAAAGTAAATAAGCCCTTAGAGATGAGATGGAAGAAAAAGCTGAACCCTGAAGGTACATGTTTTTCAAGAATTAAGAGTCCAACTTAGAGTGGAAACTACAAATTTATAAAGGTATCAGATATACATTGTGACGCTATTAATTAACACTAAGTAGTCCTGGAGTAAGAAGTGACAAGGCATATGGTAGAAAGACAGGGAAATAAGAGTGTTAGAAGAGAAGACTGAATCAGCAAGTGACTCTTTGGATCAATATACTAGTAAATAGCAACAAGAAGATAAAACTTTATTCTACTCCTGACAAATAATTACAAATTTTAAATTAGTGTTGTTAAAATAGTAATATCAATATATTAATGGTTTCAATGTCTAACTCTTAGAAAATATTAATCCCATACAACTTTATAAGGATACATTTATATTCATTTAAAAATTCAATATCTGGTATAAAGACATCAAGACCCTTGAGAAATTTTTAAATATGAAGGCTTAAACATCTCACCTTACTTGTGCTGCACTATTTTTATTCTATCACAGAGCTAACTAACCATGTATATATAAAGTCATTAGCCCAAAGCTCATCTCTTGATATTTAAATTAGTTTCTTTAGAACATATTAACTTCTATCATTATGTTAAATAATTCTACCTATAAAACTGAAATAATAATCTATTTCATAAGTTGTTGTGAGGATTAAATGAGTTTAAATATAAAGTGCCTAGAATAATATCTGATAAATAGTAAACACTCCACAAGTTACCCATTATTATATAATTATGAACCTGTCACAGAATGACTTTTAAATTCATATTAACTTAAAAATTAAGTATTACTAGAAAAATAGCAAATAATATAGTAGTATGATTAAAAATGTAAATAAGTATTACATATTTTAACAATGATCTTTGCATAATAAACAAAGACAAAGAAAGCAGTAAGTTTAAACCAAAAAAAGGGTTAATTTTCTCTAAAAATGTAATTAACTTTTAAAAGAAAGGGCTTTCTTTAAAAAATTAAAATATAAAATTTATTCAAAAGCAATAAATAACAGCTTCTATGCAATATGAGCTACATATAATAAGTAAACACAGCACAGTACCAACAATTCCACTTTTTTCATCACGACATCTTCTTTTAATTACAAGTTTTCTCCCTAGAGTAATGCAAAATAATTGATTAATATCTGAAATATTTTTATATTGATTTAACATTAAAAGTATACTATAATAGTCAGAAACATAATTTAAAGCAAGAATGAGAAATATTTAAGTCAACTGCAAAATAAGAATCAGAAAAAGTCAATAACAGACCACATGGCTACAGATAGCAAGTAATTCTGGAGGAGTAGATGGGAGTACAGATTAAACTAAAGTGATTTTAAAACTCAAAATGGCATATAAAAGTAACAGATGTAGGCATCAGTGTCCTCTTATAGTTCAAAGGCACATGAAAAAGAAAAAAGTCTTAAGATAGAAAGAAAAAGATGTTTGTATGCACAACAAAGAAAAGTAGGAAGATAGAGGAAAAGGAAATTTAAAAAATACAAGTTAAATATTTTTGTCATATCTTGGACTTTACCTGGGCTATGAATTTGAAAATATTATCATGTACCTAGGTATTTCCCTATATTCCTGCTTCATCTCATTTTTTGCCTATTTTTGCTTTCCCTATAGCCGATTTTCTCACTTCTAGCTTTTCATATGTACCATATTTTGTAAACTACGTACAACCCCCTTTTAGAATAAAATGAATATAAACAATACTTTTTTATAAATTCCTAGTAAACATCCACTGTTCTAATAAAAAAATGATTAGAATAGTTCTTATTGTGAAGTCTCTGAGCTCTCTGAAATTGTGTTCAAAACTGTATAACTTTTTAAGTTCTGAGCTTTTCTCAGTTAGAAGCTCTATGTTATAGTCTTGATTGTGAACAGAATTGCCAAGATAGGAATATGAATTATTAACCATTAGAAAATCTGTATTAGAGCTGCAACAAAAAAAAGGAAACTAACATTAATTAAGCCCTTCTCATGTGCCAATTTCCATGTTTTTTCCATTTTACAGGGGATTTTTTTTTGGTACTGGAGATTAAATCCAGGGTCACTTAACCACTGAGCCACATTCCCATCCATTTTTAATATTTTATTTAGAGACAGGGTCTCACACAGTTACTTAAGTCCTCCCTAAATTGCTGAGGCTGGCTTTGAATTTGTAATCCTCTTGTCTCAACCTCCCCAGCTACTGGGATTACAGGCATGCGCCACCACAACCAGTACTGTACCAGTGGATTTTTGGAATGCATTGTAGAGCAGGGCTGCATTCTGAGCAGTTGATTTTCTACATAGAGCCCAACAATAATGACCCCAGCCTTTGCATTGCATTACACAAATCAGATGATGAATTAAATTCTCTATAGACTTGGCTGATTTGATTTTTGACAGAAATTAAAGTTACAGCATGTGTAAGAAACAACTTACGAGGGCTGGAGTTGTGGCTCAGTGGCAGAGCACTTGCCTAAGAAACAACTTACGATATCTGATGAGTAGTAGTAACATCTCATGACAACTTCAAACTAAACTTTTAAACTTTCGTCACTTAATGATTTTTTTAACAGTGCAGAGTAAATTTGAACATGGGTGGGGTTGTGGCTCAGTGGTAGAGCACTTGACTCCCATGTGTGAGGCACTGGGTTCGATTCTCAGCACCGCATATAAATCAATAAAATAAAGGTCCATTGACAACTAAAAAAATTTTTTTTAACATAGCCGATAAAGACAATTATTTAAAAAGTCAAGTATAGCAGTGAAGAAGTTAAAGACACCATAATTAGGACAAAAATTTCTATGGAGCTCCCCTTCCTTGGTGCCTGAAATTCCTGCTTACTTTTCTTAATGATTAATTCAGAACTATTCTAGGGCCTTTGTATAAGCACCATGAAAAGAGATGAATGAGTTCAGGCACAATTCACTAATCAAACTAACTACTTTCATATCTGTTTGGCATATTGGTTTCTTCACATTTCATTTAAACGGCGTCTCTCTGGCTTAAAAGTTGCTTTTTTTTTTTTTTTTTGTACTGGGGATTGACCCCAGAGATGCTGAACCACTGAGCCACATCCCCAACCCTTTTTTATTTAGCCATAGGGTCTTGCTAAGTTGCTTAGGGCCTTTCTAAGTTGATGAGGCTGGCTTTCAACTCATGATTCTCCCGTCTCAGCCTCCCAAGCTACTGGGATTACAGGTGAACGCCACCATGCCTGGCTTAAAAGAGTTTTTGTTATAAAGATATACATGTCTTTCTCTATATAAATTTATATATAGACATATATATTTATATATAAATTAAATATATATTTATTTTAATTGTAGATGGACACAACACTTTCTTTCTTTATCTATCTATCTATCTATCTATCTATTCTTATGCAGTGCTAATAATCAAACTCAGTGCGCCTCACATGTGCCAGGCAAGTGCTCAACCACTGAGCCACAACTCCAGCCCTTAAAAGAGTTTTAAAATCCTCCCTGTAAATTAGAGATCAATGTAATGTCATACTTAATAGTGGGCATAATACACCGAAGATCAGAACTAGACTGCAGATCAAGTCTCTACACTCCAATTAAAAAAAAAAAATCTCTTATTTTTAAAAACATGTACAAGTGGTATACGTTCATTAAGGTAACATACATATGAATGACCATGAAGTCATTTAACAGTAAAAGTAGAGCAAGTCAAAGTTTCATTCAACAATAGCAGTTTTATCTCTGAATTTTCTTACCTTCCATTAAAGGAAAAAAAAAAAAAGACAAAAAACAAAGAATAGTGAAATTAGAGAAGAAAGAAATAGAGACCCATCAGAAAAAGCAGCAAGAAGATGTCTTCAATTGCCCTTGCCCCTTAAGAAAAAGGTATAATATACAAGGAGCAGTCACTTGAAAACTAAAAAGTCAAGATGAGCATTTGTCTAGTAAACATAGTAGAGATGAAAAAAATGGCGCAATGAAGGGAGCTTTGAGCAACCCAAAGAGCCAGTCCTTTCTATCAAAGACAAAATTGAGCTGATAAAATTGTGATTGAGGCACATGAGGTGTAAGAATTCCACGTGACCTTTAAGTTCTAAATACTGACTGTGGTTAATGAATTTAAAACTCAGTAGAACATCATTCAAAATAAACAAAACTATTTGAGCACAGAATTTAACTTTTGATTTTATGAATCTAATTTGGTACAGAATTTTGAATATTTTTAGTTTAGTACTAAGCTTCTATGATAATGGAATGGTAAAATTCCTTGATAAAACATAAAATGACAAGATATTCAAATGCATCTGCATATTCCAATAACCTACAGAATAAGTAATCATTCTATCAGTTGTGTATTAACTTTTAAGTTCTACTCTCCTAACCCCTAATTGACTAAGCAGCTTCAAGACCAATCTATTTAATCAGAAATTACTGAAGAGGATATAAACACAATCAATGTAAACAGAGCAGGGACTCAGTTTACTCATGTGTAATAATGGGGACAATGACATTATTCATTACAATAGAAGAACTATTAGGTTTTCTCTGCGTGTGTGTGTTTTGCAAGAACTCAGTGTCTTGCACATGCCAGGCAAGTCCTCTACACCTCCAGCCCTACTAAGTACTATTACTTTGTACTATTAGGATAATAATAATAACCACTGCAGGTACTATTACTGAGCTATTGTAAAAATTAGGAGTTCATTTATGTTAATTATTTAGTGCCTAATATATAGTAAATGCTATGTCTTGTTATGATCATAATCTGTCACTACATTTATCAAAATTATCCTGCACAAATTAGGCTTTGTTTCTACCAAAAATAGACCCTTACACACCTGATTCTAAGGGTCATTGGAATAGAGCAGAGGTTCTTGAAAGGAACAGTACTAACGTGTAGGGAACATTCTAGAAATCTGTGAGGGTAGTTTGAGTTGTCACTAAATTGAAGAGAAAGGGAAATCCTGCTTCTGCAATGTAATAGGCAGGGACAAACAATGCSAGATCTGGTCCTATGATTTACAGGGTTGGTCCCACATAACAAAATTATCTGGCTAGTAACTCTATTAAACTTTCCTATTCTACCTATACTCTCCCATTCTCCAAGTTAACTATTTCATATACCTTCTTTGCTTTTAAATCTCCAATGCCTTATCCTAACTTAGATAATAGCCCTGTTTATTAATCAATAAATTCTTCTACCACCACCAAACCTTCTAGTCCATGTGTTTCTATTCCCACATTTTTGCTCTTCTTCTTACTACAGTCAATAAACTTCTTTCTTTTTACTTAAGACCAGTCCCTCTATCTCTCTAATTGTATCTTTTTTAGTCACTGTTTTTCATGGTATTGAGGACTGGAGGCAGAACCGCCACATACTAGGCAAGGCTCAAACAGTGAGCTATATTCTCAACCCTTTTTAAATTTTTGAGACAAAGTTTTGCTAAATTACTCAGGCTGGCCTTGATTTTGTAATCCTCCAGCCTCAGCCTTCCAAGTAGCCAGGATTACAGGCATGTGTCATCACACCCAGCTAAATCTAAAGTTGTTTGTTTGTTTTGGCACCAGGGATTGAACCCAGAACCCACAGGCACTTAACCACTGAGCCACATTCCCAGCCACTTTTTATTTTAAGACAGGGTCTCAATAAGTTGTTGAGGGTCTCACTAAGTTGTTGAGGCTGGTTTTGATTTGCAATCCTCCTGCCTCAGCCTCCCAGGCTGCTGGCATTATAGGCACCTGGCTCCCGTTCAATTTTCTTATCGGCTTTTCTTCCTAACACTTTTTTTTTTTAAAACCTGGCATTATTATACAAAGTACATGTATGAAGACTTGAATTGGGTGTCAACATACCTTATATACAAACAGAAATATGAAAAATTGTGGTATATATGTGTATTAAGAATTGTAATGCAAAAAAAGTACATGTATAATGGCATAAAGTGATGTGAACATACTTTATATACAGAGATACAAAAAATTGTGCTCTATATGTGTAATAAGGATTGTAATGCATTCTACTGTTGTTGTGTATTTTAAAAAAATAACAAAATTATTTAAAAAATCCCTTTGAAAGTATTAAGAAAAACTCTGGCATTATAACATGTATCTATTTACTTATTTACTGTCTATCCCACTAAAATGTAAGCTCCATGTGCAAAGGATATTGGTCACTTTTATTTGTTTCTATACTCCCAGTGCTTGGTATATGGTAGGTGCTCAATAAATATTTATTGATAACAAATCTTTACATATTTGGGTCTGCAACGACCCTGTGCACAAGTGTGCTTGCCACAACAGTTTTGAAGTGGTTTGAGGCCTTGCCCTGATCCATCCAGATCAAGATTATAGAAATTTCAGACAATTGCTGGGTACAACGGCTCATGCCTGTAATCTCAGAGGCTTGGGAGGATCCTAAGTTCAAACCCAGTCTCAGAACTTAGCAAGGCCCTGAGCAACTTAGAGAGACTCTGTCTCAAAATAAAAAATAATAGTAATAAAAAAATTCAAAAAGTTTGAGTTCAATTCTTGATATAAAAAAAATCAGACAACGAAAAAAAAAGAAAAAAAGAAATGTCTATGAATAAATTAAATATCTGAATAAATAATATCTAATAAACACAACCACAGTTTCAAATGCTAGATTTTATCAGACTTTCACAGGGAAAATTTTACCGAGATGGAGTTATATTTTAAAAATTTCTATTATTTGCCTTAGCTTTATTAAAAGGTTGTAAGTTATTACAGCAGATATCAAATCTTAGGCAGTTTAATAAGTACAGGAATTTTTATACATAGCTCAACATTTTTCATTGTATAATTGATATAGTAGCTATCCAGTTAGATATAACTCTTTAAGAAAATGGGCAGGGACAGTGATGGTACTGACTTGTTTGCATTTGTATTTTTCACTTCATAAATTTAACTGAATGAAAACTCTACTACAAAAACATATAAAATGTACAAAAATGTCTTATAAAAACAATTAGTGTGCCAGTGGCTTTGGAGGCTGAGGCAGAGGGATTTCGAGTTCAAAGCCAGCTTTGGCAAAAGTRAGGGACTAAGCAACTCAGTGAGATCCTGTCTCTAAATAAAATATAATATAGGGCTGGGGATGTGGCTCAGTGGTTGAGTGCCCCTGAGTTCAATCTCCAGTACACCTCCCAAAAAGACAAAAACAAAACAAAACAACAAAAACAAAACAAAACAAAACAAAAAACAATTAGGGCAATTACCAATCTACACAGAATAATATAAATAAAATGGATAATAAATTTGGTAGAAGTCATTGTAAATTGCTATCCCTTAATTAACAAGTTTTTCTAAAGGGAGTTAAGTTTACATTTCACAATTCCTATCTCAATATTAACAGAAGACCTTTTTTTTTTTTTTTTTTTTTTTACAAAATTAAAGCTGATTAAAAACTCTTGAAGGCATGCAGGGAATAGTAACATTCAATAGCTCTATTCAGCAGAGAAACCCAAGAAGTTAAAAGATGGAAAAGAAATTACAGGTATTTTCATTATTGCAAATCACATTTTGAACTTAATTTTTTAAAATGTTACTCAGTATTGCCTTACTTATTATGCGACTTGCACTGTTTGTTAAGTACTTGAAATTTCAAAATATTACTACTAATATTATTATTATTTTATACAGTTTTCTTGCTATGAATAGAAAAGAAGACATGAAAAGAGGCTGCAACAGTCTTTGTCTTAGGTTTATTCTTAAAAATCTTTTTCTAAAAAGCTACCTTAATGTGTTTGAAAATGAGGCAAAAGAGCATCTGAAAATAGCTGACATTATCTGAAGGACAGTATTTACATAATGTAGACTACAGGCATGTGTATTGCATGCAGGCATGTGCCATTGCGCCCAGCTAAATATATATATAT